TCGCCCCTCGCAATGCTGGCGACCTACAGCGGAGAAACCGACGTGGCCTAGAGGACCTTCCCACTGGCCGTCTGGTTGAGCCTGCCACGCAAAAACCGCGGGACGCGCTTTGGGGCGCCTTTTGCCAGTGGCTTTTGGGCCAAGGGATAGCCGTTACCGAGCTCACCGAAGCCCCGGGGACCAACGACGTTGATGCGGTGAACTGTGTTCTGACCCGCTATGGGCGGGAGCTGTACCGTTCAGGCCGCCCCTACTCCCACTACAGCGAGCTTGTCAACGCCTACTCGGCTAGGGTCCCAAAGCTCAGAAGGTTGCTTCAGCTAGCGTGGGACCTGGCTTTTTCCTGGAAACGTGCTGAGCCGGGCCGGCATCACATCGCTATGCCTTGGCAGATCCTCCTCGCCCTCGTCACCACTGCCTTCCTTTGGGGATGGCCGCGCACAGCTGGAGTACTTGCACTCACCTGGGGTGGGCTTCTTCGTATCGGCGAGGCCCTGGGAGCAAAGCGAGCAGACCTCATGCTCCCCACGGACGTGTGGGACACTATAGACTTCGCCTTCCTGACCATCAGGGAGCCAAAAACCAGGTACTCGGCTGCTAGGCACCAATCGGTGCGGATAGACCAGCCCGACATCTTGAAGATCGTCACGCTTGTTTTTCGTGGTCTCCGACCTTTCGAAAAGTTGTGGCCCTCTTCGGGTCAGACCTTACGTACACGCTTTCGCCAGCTCTGTGGCGCCCTGAAGCTGCCGTGTGGTTGGTCCGGAGCGACTCCAGGTCTTGAACTGGCGTCGCTCCGCGCTGGCGGGGCTACCTGGCTGCTCATGCAGAACGAGGACTCTGAACTGGTGAGACGGCGGGGCCGCTGGCTCACGGCAAAGATCATGGAGATCTACATCCAGGAGGTCTCGTCGATCCAGTTCCTCCCTTCGTTAAAGCAGGAGACAAAGGGCCTCATACAGGCTGCTTTGGAAGCCTTCAGTGACGTGCTCCGTAAGGTCGACTTCTTTGTTACCACGGGCATTTTGCCCCAGGCGTGGTATAAACTGTTTGCAGCGAGGATGATCGCGACGACGTGGGTGGGCGGAACGGGTGGAGCTGCAGGCTTGAATGTGCCAAAACATCGGCACTAATGCTGTGACATCCGCTTGCGGTGCAGAAAAGGCAGGCGTGTGTGAGTCCTTGTATAGTTGAATTTTGCACACTCACTTTAGTTGGCAAGCGAGTATTCGATAGAGTTGCTCCGGCCCAAACACAAGCAAATTGTGAATATGCATATTGAGATCCGTCTAGTATGTGGCTTGAGTGGTCGAATGTTCCCCTGGCTTAAAAGTAATCTAGTGTCCGTTAGCTACATGCGAGATGGATGCACTGGAATCTCATCGATGAACTTCTTGATGTGCTTGGCGTTTGGG